TATTATTTCTTAGCTGATAATTATTCATCCATCCTTATTCGATTAGAGTGTTTAGGTTTGTTTTCTTTTTATGTGTTATCGATATCAAAACTAAGTTCCGAACAGCCTTCCTCGTGAGATCGACCCGGGGAACAAATCTTTAGATTTGGTACTCGGTAAAAAGAATAATTTGTACACAACAAATTTGGCGCCGTTGCCGGGGAAGGCAAGAAGGATATTTAGTTTTGGTGTTTGATCTTATTTTCTGTGTTTCTCTTTATTTTAGCATTTTTAGTGTTTTTGTTCCTTTTGTGCATTTGTGTTTTTCTCTTCTATTCTTGTTTTAGTTTTTATTTTCTTTTCTCCTCCTTTTTTCTTGGCTACGTGTGGTTGTTTTGTTCTTGTGTGCAGGTACAATGAATTTCAATCACGGGTACTTCTCCCTGCACGACCCCTCTTGGAACAACGAGCCAGTCTATTTCCCCGGGTACCACTCCCAACCGTACCCTTATTCTTTCGAGCAGTGCTGGAACCATCTTTCGGTCGAGCAAAATTATGAGGCCCTTAAGTTCAACGAAAAGCTCGACCGAATTATTGAGTTTATAGATTCCCAAGCAGCTCGAGAAAGAGAGGCCGCCTACCATGCGAAGCTCGACCAGATCCTGGCTTTCATAGAATCCAAAGAAGAAGAGGTAGCCTACAATGCAAAGCTCGATCAGATTCTTGATACTTTGGCATCCCAAGCTACCCGTAAAAGAGATCTAGAGTTCCAAGTTGAGAGCTTAATGGAGCGCGTACATGCCATAGAGGATCGAGTTGACAATCCTTCTCATGAGTTCACCATGGAACACATATCTACTCACGAGGGTGAACTCCGAGAGACAACATTGGCGTACGATGCAAAACTCGACCTCATTCTTGCTCGCATGGCGGCTCAAACAACCCGAGATGAACAAATTGAGCTCGGGTGTGCTCAGTTGAGTGCACGAATGGAGAGCCTCACTGCACGTCTCGATTCTACTGAGGCACAAGCCGCCGACCCGCACTCCATGCTTGACCCCCAGGCTCAGATTCTGCAGCGAATGTGCGAGGCCGAAGAGGATGACATGCCCCTACGAGCCCGATATGATTCATTAGAGGAGGATGACAATTCACAAGTCCCTCATCCCACATTCAAGTTGGAGCATCCACCTTCGAGTCCATCGCACTGCTTTACGAAGGGGATAGTACTTTACTCGGATTGCTCCATTGACGTGCCATTCGTTGTCGAGGTTGACGAGAGATCTCAGCTGGGGAAGGTTCTATTCCAAACATTGAGGAATGCTCGTGATCAGACAAATTGCATTCAGAACATAGCCACTCGTGTCCACAGTGCCCGTCTTCTGGACTTAGTGCCAGCACTACCACTTCTCGAAAATACGAAGGCGTGGCACGACCGTCATTTCTTCTTAGATCCTGGTTGAGTTCCCCTCAGGTTTCGTCAAGCTAATGACGTTAAACAAGCGCTTCTTGGGAGGCAACCCAAGTGATTTACTGCTTTCGTAGATATTTTTTTTCTGCTTTTTAGTTTTATTCTTTGAATAATGGAAGTTTTGGAGTTTTGTGTTTTTCTTAGCAGGTACGAGATTACGAG